CAAAATTAAGTTATTGTCCACTGTTGTAACACTCATTCCGGACATCGACCAGTCGCAACCACAGCTGACTAATCCAAGGCAGTGGTTTACTAGAGAATAATAAAACTAAAAAGATCAGAAGAAATTTAAAGGTAGGATACCAGGCAACAGTACCAGCGGTATGTATGGTGGCTAGAAGATCAAGTTTTCCTAGTTCACACAGCTGTAATGTATCTTCTGGCACCTTACATCCGACTTTTCACGGGAAGTGTGTCCATATGCCACCTTAACTACCTCGTATAAGCTTTGCGTTTAAATGGTTTCCGACGATCATGCATGATTTCTGAGCAGTTTGCTGATGTGAAACAAAGTGGTCTCAAAGGGCAGAAGGTCGGTTTTGGAGAAAGAAAAAAGAATAAAAGATTGGTTTCTGGAAGATAAAAAATAAATTAGCGCTTATTAAAGTCAGATAATTTGACTTCAAAGTGGAGTAAGTAACCCTTTCAAATGGCACCTAGCTAATACTTGTACGCCATACATGCAATTTTGAAGGAACTCGAAAGATGTAATTTACTTTTTTTAAACGCACGCGGTGCCTGTTCCTTGCCAACTGGCCAATCGCAGCTCAGTGCTCCATTAGCCAACTGGCCAATCGCAGCTATCGCCGACCAATTAGAGAAGACACTGAGCAAAGTGCAAATAATGGCGTACTAGCTTTGAATCCAAACTCATCGACTTTTGAATATTAGATTTGCTGAAAATACACTTTTCAGGTGATGGTGCACAAGACTATAACCTGCCTGAATTATCAGTACTCATCAGGATTTGTCTCTGCCGTCTATCTTGTCACTAAGGCACTCTATCTTATCAACGTCGTAATGCAACTATGGTTTATGAATACGTCAGTACCGAGATTTCATGTTAAATTTATCTTCAAATTATTTTTTCTTCAGATTTTTGGGCACCAATCGGCATCAATGGTATGGACTTGGAGTTATTCAAGATATCATACATGGCGTGGAATGGGAGACAAGTGGCTACTTCCCACGCGCCGCAATTTG